AGGAGGTTGAGTGTCGGGCAGAGAGAAGAGGTACTCGAGCACGGGACCCTGGTCGTACTTGACGGCAGAGAAGATTGGTGTCTTGCCCTCGCCGTCGACCACGTTGAGAGACGCGCCGTGGGCCAGCAGCAGACGCACAAGGTCTTCTCGTCCGCTTGCCGCCGCACAATGCAGGGCCGTCCGCAGCTGCACACCGCCGGCCTGGCGGCCTGGACAGTAGTGCACGTCGGCGCCAGCCTTGAGTAACGCTCGCACCACCGACGCCTTGCCGAAGCGTGCTGCCCACAGAAGTGGCGTCTCCCCTTTTTTCGCCACAACGTTGGGATCGCTCGCTGGCGACGAAGAAGGAGTAGAGGCTGACGGCGTAGCTACGGCCGTTGTCGTGCTTGTGCTGTGGCTCGGCCGAGTCGACCATCCAGAGAGTCTTCCTTGCGGCGTCGGTTCCCCACCACCACCACCGTTGCCCCCTTGTGGCGGCGGTGGTGGGTCGGCCTGTGAGCCTCCAGAGCGCAGGAGGAGTCGTACAACCTTGGCGGCGTTGCGCTTGACAGCAGCGAAGAGAGGCGTCAGCTGGTGCCGATCACGAGCTGCAGTATCGGCTCCACGGGCGAGCAGGAGTGCCACGAGTTCGAGGTCGCCCCGTTCGCACGCCAAGTGGAGGGGCGTCTTCAGCGTGCCCCCCTCCGCCTCAGACATCAAATCGGGATTCGATGCAAGCAGAGCCTCCATTTGCGCCACGTCGCCATTGGACGCAATGTCGTGGATGTTGGGTTGTCCCCGCGACGGATTGCCCAGCATGCTGGGCCTGCTCCTTACTCTTCGGCTGCTGTACAGCGAATGGCCGTAACACCTGCCCCCCTTGGCGCCAAGATCGTCGAGAGGAATGCGCGTTGATGTTTTTTCACACACACTGGCCGAGAAAACAGAAAAGGGAAAACAGAAAGAAAAAGATCCCTTTTTTTATTGGCGGCCACCGGTGACTTCTTTTTAGCGCCACCCCCCTGAGTTGATGGAGCTGCACGAGCGCCCTGTCAATGAAGAAGAGGAGGCGAAACATGACGTGGTTGAAGAAGCCAGGGAGGTGCACCAGGTGCTGCCGCTAGAGCTCCTGCAGCACATCATAGGCACTCTTGACCTGGCCAGCGTGGCGCAAGCCAAGAGTGTGTGCCAGGCCTGGCTTGCCATGTGTGAATTGCCCTCTGTGTGGGCGGCTGTCTACTGCCACCACTTCAGCTTGCACCCCTTGGCAACTGCCCAGCAGGAAGGTTGGCTGCACACTCCTCTTCAGTGAAATGGTGACAGTGAGTGCTGATGGTGCCCTTCTTCTTGCCCCAACAATCTTCAATGTTGTATCTCCTCCTCCTCCTCCTCTGGCCTGCTGCAGAGGAATGGGAGGAACGTTGTGTGCAGCCATGTCACTTCAGCACAGCCCACAGACACTGCCAGGTGAATCAGCCACATGCACATGACATCTTGGAGTGGGCTGGTGGGCTGGAGCAAGCACAAGCACTGGTCAACACCATGGAGCCCAGGATGGGCAAGACAGCTCTTCACTTCACTGCAGAAAATGGGCGCAAGCTCATGGTGGCCCTCCTGCTCAAGAAAGGTGCTGGTACTGTACACCTTGGCCCCTTAGAATGTGCACCAGTCAGGGCATTGAACCCACCGCCCCTCCCCCCCTCTCCCCAACCAACTTCATGTTGTGCCATGCCATGTCGCATTTTTTCCTCTGCAGACAAGGATGTTCTGTGCAATTCCAAGCAATCAGTGTTGCACTTGGCAGTGCTCAGTGGATGTCTCACCATTGTGCACATTGGTGGAGCACAGCACCAAGGTCTTGTTCTCCACAGCTGAAGCCCAGATGAAGAAGGTACGCCCCACGCTTGGGTGGTGTGTGTGTGAACATTGGGCGCCTGGGTGGGTGTGTGTCAACATTGGGCGTCTGTGTGTGTGTGTGTGTGTGCTTAACTGATGTCCAATGTGGGCATTGATGTGCAGACCCCCGTTTTGCCACTGTTCCTAGCCACTACCTGCCAGTCCAAGAATATGATGGGTCTCAACATCAACACTATCAACAAAAAAGGTTGTATGCCACTTCATGCTGCACTCTGTGCTGAACACAAGAACCTGGCCTTCATCAAATTCCTTCTCAAGCACAGAGCTGATGCTAAGGCTGTGGACAATTTGGGCAGAAGCGTCCTCCACTATGCACTCAGGGTACCATGCCACTTGGCATACATTGCTCACTCCTTTATGGGCTGGCACTGATCTGGCATGTGATGGATGTAGCTAACATATTTTGGGGCAACATCAATGAACCACCCAGAACGCCAGCACGCTCAACAAAGTGGAAATATGCAGGTGCTTGATTGCTGCCAGTGCTGATGTTCACTCCAATGATCCTGTCTTGGTACATAAGCCAAACCCTCTGATTCATTGTTGTAGCCCCTGTGTAGCTAGTGTAATGGCCACAAACCGTTGGTGTTTCTAATGGGCACAATATTGTATATCTTTGTTCAGTGTCTGGCCACACTTGCTTCTGGTTGGCGCACCAACTCAGAGGTCTTGGTTAATCTCATCAAGCTGTTCATTGAACATGGGGTTGATGTTCTAGAGTGTTGTACAAACTCCCCACACTTTGCACAGAAGCAGAAGCTGCTCCATGATGCAGGAAGCATGGGGACTGATGCGGGGGGGGGAACACAACAACACGCCTTTCATCCTTCTTCTTTCACTCTGCAGGAATCAGCCTACCCATACTCCTGGCAGCAGTCAGTTCTACCCAATACAGACTTACAGAGGCTCTGCTGGACCTTGGTGCATTTGAATTCAGCTTCTTTCTTCACAGTTGTGTGCCTGGCCAGCTGTTGTTGTAACATTTATTTTGGGGGGGGGGGGTGGCAGCGGCGGTGGTGGTGGTGGACAGGCATAAATCCAAATGGCAGTGATGGAGAGGACCTGCCATTGTTTCAAGCTGTCACTCAATACTCCTGGATACATGATCAAACAACAGCAAAACTGTTGGTTGAGCTGCTTATTGAGGTCCACATTAAACCATCCCTCTTCCCCCTCCCCCTGTTTCTGTACCTTTGGCTGATTGTCTGAACAATTTTGTCCAGAGGGGAGTGGACATGAATGGCCAGTCAGGGAAAGCACAAGAGCCAATTTTGTTTGGTGTGAGCCTGTCAGCTGCACCTGAGCTATTCCAGATGTTGGTAAGTTGCACAGCTCACCTCCTTCCATCTACTGCTGCATGTTACCCTACTGGGTGTGGGTGGTGGCTGATCAGGTTTGCCATTGCTTGAATTTGCAGGTATCTAGGAATGGGTGTGGTGAGACATTTTTGTACCAGACCATCAACATGCAGTGGCCATATTTCGAAGGTCAGCTCAAGCCCATCAAGCAGTTGGTCCACACCCTTATTGAGTGTATGACACACAACACTCAAATGCGCTCTGAGTTCCTACCACTCACTGGTGGGGGTTCACTTGATCTTCCAGATGGTGCTGATCCTCGCCAATGCCTGGTGCAGGGTCGTGGCCCATTGTCTGGTCCAATTCATCCCTCGGACAGGTTGGGTGCCAAGTGGATTGCCTTTGTCCAATCCCTGGGCATCCCTGCCGGACCAGACCAGGACCAGGGATGACAAAATACGCCCCCCCCCCGGGAGTTAGGTTGACTTCTTGTAATTCCTGCGCAAAATTAAAAAAAGGCCGGACCTTTCGGAGGTGCCGGTTTGGTTCCGTCGCCGGGGTCGAAGAGAGAGGCGCGGAGGTTCCTTTTGGTTTCTTTTGTCCCCCGCCTTCGATCAAGAGAGAGAGCAAGAGATGTCGCAGCAGCAGACCGCCATCCCCGCCCCCGTGGTTGCGCACCACGCCCCCGTCTTCGATCTGATGTACTACGTCAAGGCTGCTGTCGCCGGCGGTCTCTGCTGCTCCGTCACCCACGGCGCCGTCTGCCCCATTGACGTCGTCAAGTAAGCCTCCCTCCCGTCACTCACTAGGTTTAATTTTCTTTCCATTCAAACTCCGGATGGAAGGGTTAATGTCCGATCCTAGGAGATTTTTGCTCGAGCATCTTCTCCCCCCCCAAAAGAGAGATTGCATGATCATTCATTTCATTTTGTTTAATAATCCAAAAACAACCTAAAGATCTATCTGACCCTTGGGTGGGGGTTTTATCCCGCTTGGATGATAAAGGACCCGCATGCAGCTGGACCCCCAGAAGTACAACAAGGGCATGATCTCGGCCTTCCGCCAGGTCGTCTCGACCGAGGGCGCCGGCGCCTTGGCTACCGGTCCGTTAACCCTCCCTTCACCACCACCACCACCACCACCACCACCAAATCAAATATCACAACTCAACTGGGCGCAGCGCAAAAAAAAATATCAATAATCTGAAATTAACCAACCTAAATGAAACGCCAGCGTAAACAAATTCATCTTCTAATATTAAGAAATGAAACGCGCTGGTCTGGGCGACGACTGCAGGTCTGGGTGCCACTGCGGCTGGATACTTTGTCCAGGGTTGGTTCAAGTTCGGCGGTGTGGAGTTCTTCAAGGTGAACATCGCTCACGCCGTTGGCGAGCGCGCGGCCTGGGAGAACCGCACCGGCATCTACCTGGCCTCGTCGGCCATGGCCGAGTTCATCGCTGATCTCTTCCTCTGCCCGCTGGAGGCCATCCGCATCCGCTCCGTGTCGGACTCGACCTTCCCCAAGGGTCTCGGCGCTGGCGCTGCGCGCATGTTCTCGACCGATGGTCTCCTCGGCTTCTACGCCGGTCTGGGCCCCATCCTCTTCAAGCAGATCCCCTACACGATGGCCAAGTTCGCCGTCCAGGGCAAGGCTGCTGAGCTCATCTACAAGAGCGCCAACACCTCGCCCGACAAGGCGACCAAGGGCACCAACCTGTCCATCTCGCTCCTCTCCGGTGTGATTGCTGGCGTCGTCGCCGCTATCGTCTCCCACCCGGCCGACACGCTCCTGTCCAAGATCAACAAGAAGGGCGCCGGCGGTTCTGGCAGCACGACCTCGCGTCTCTTCACCATCGCGCGCGAGATGGGCTTCGCCAAGCTCTGCCTCACTGGTCTCCCCGCTCGTTGCATCATGATCGGCACGCTCACCGCCGGTCAGTTCGGTATCTTCGACTCCGTGATGGCTGCCATTGGTGCCCAGAAGTTCCACTTCCACAACCCTGACGAGAAGCACTAAGTTTGGACCCACTCCTTTGCCGTTATAGTGATAAAGTGAGAGACCGTACAACTTTGTTTCGCAGGGACCAGGGAAAGATGAGCTTTGTGCTGGTCAATAGTGGAGTGTTGGGGACTCCTTACTTTATTGGAAGCACTTATTACAGATGCCCACAGCAGTCCACACACATGCATTCTGTTGCTCTTTGTCCTCATGCCAGGCTTTCTTCAGCACATCAAAGATTCCAACCACATGACCAAAGCCATTCTCAACTTGGTCTTGATGAACTCTTGCTGAATCTTGAGGAAGTCCCTGTTGAAGATCTTGGGTGAGTACCCACCCCACAAGGCCTGGAACTGGCCATGCACATCAAGCAGCACCATGAAATGCTGGCCAGGAGATTTTAGCTTGTAGCTCCAGGCTGGGTCCTTCTTCAAGACATGAGTGACACCACTGAGCTGGACATCAAATTAGTCCATCCACAGGCAGCCACCTTCAACTGGTCCAGTGAGGTTGAGCTCAGCTGCAAGGTGACACCAGGTAGTCAAGTTGCCAAGATGGGTGACTGTCTGTGCCCATTTCTTGTGGATGTGATGTAGAATGTGGATGTTGTGGCAGAGCAACCTGGTTGACCTCATTGTAGAGCTGGTCCTGGCCAATGGTATAGCAGTCCTTGTAAAGTGTCACAAGGACAAAACAACAGTAGCACAGCTGCAGGGATGGGTCTTCTGGGTTGGGTGCTCTGTCAGTCATTCCTCTGCTGGCCAGGGTCAATGCCTGGTTTGTTGTATGTATGTTCAGTGACAAGGAAGAGGCCCAAGCACACATAAATAAGAAGAGTCTGAGTACCCAGTGTTGGGTGCCCAACATGTTTGCCACTGTAAAGAAGAAGTAGACTGCCAAACTTCATACAAAAGTCACACTGGTGCCTGTGTTCTGTGCAAGTGGAGTTTTTCTGGTTTCTTGACTGAAAAAAAACATGTTCTCATTCTGGGCTAGTTTGGGTTTGTTTTGAAAGCTAATAGTTGTTATAGAATGCCCTTATATTGTGCTACAAGAGAGTGTTTTCAAAAGTTGTGTATGATTGATCATTGTTGAGAAATTTTGTCCATGTTGTGCATTAATTAGCACACAAACACTCTTGCCATATTTTTGCAACAATGCCATGTTGCCATAGCATGGTGACTATAACTGTATAGCACATCATCTTGAAGAGCGCAAGGAGTACTATCATACGACACTCACTTTATGAACAAAAAATTGATTTTTAACAGAACAAACAAACACTCTTAGCAATAAAACAAGTAACACAAACAGTTTTTTTGGGTTTTTAATTTTTTATTGAACTTGAGAGAGAGAGAGAGAGAGAGAAAGAGCAACTTGCTCTGGAGTTTACAAGAAATTAGCCTTGATAAACTCCTCAACACATGCCAGGGCATTACCCAGTTGAGTGAAGGGAAGCCACATGTCAAACTCCTCAGTGTAGCCAACCCATCTGACACATAGCTCCAGCTCACCAGACTGAGCAATCCTCATCTCATGGAACCTCTCAACTTCGTCTTCCTCCTCCCCCTCTTCCTCATCCTCATCCTCTTCCTGAGAATCCTCTTCTGCCTCCTGCTCCTCTTCCTCTTCCTCCTCTTCCTCCTCATAGGCCCTCCTCTTCCTCTTCTTGGGCAGGTGGCCTGAGACTGACTGCCACTCCTCATCATCCTCAGTTGTCCTTGCCTGGCACTTCTTGATGTTGACATGCTGGTGCTTCTCTTCCTCAACAATTGCTGTTGCCATCTTGGCCTCCATCTTGCCCATGGCTGTCTGAGCACCTTCAGGTACCTTGCCTGCATTGGCAGCATTCAGAGTTCCCTGGTGCTTCTTCTTCAAGTCATGCCTGGAAAAGAGGAACACAACACAAGGAATTAGTAACCACACAACAAGTTGGGTTTTGGTTATTTGTTGTTGTTGTTGGTTGTTGAATGATCTGACCTGTTGTAGACAGTCTTCATTATCTTAACAGAGACTCCCTCCAGAGGCACATGTTCTGTTGTGTGGGAGAGAGAGAGATGTTGTAACCAGGCTCTTTGCACAAGATAGCACAATTGTGTATATACATACCAGCAAAGAGGTTGGTGATAGTCATGCACCTGAAGTCAATGGCAGTGGTGGTGAGCTCAGGATTGAAGTCCTTGATAAGGATCTTGAGCTGGTGAGAAAATGTGGCTGAGCTGAGAGGCTGACCACAAGAGCTCAACCAGAGTGCAAGAGGGGGGTCACAGGGGTCTGGGCAGAGGTAAGGGCAAACTCTCTGCTTGAAGAACTCTATGTAGGTGAAGAGCTGAGGAGGCAGAGGCAAGTGGGAGGTATTGGTATGAGCCACCTTTTCCCTTCCCACCTGCATGACCATCTCATCCTCATCCCACTGGAGGTGGTCCTCTTAGCTCAGCCACTAGGGTTGGGGCTTGTCTGCTGTAAAATGGGTTTGCCTGGCAGAATGAGCACACAAAAAAGTATGATGAAGCACATTTATGTGCACTGGGGGGGGCAACATAAAGGGAGGCCTTTGAACACCAGGGAGAGTTGTTTCACCTACCACACTTGCCCACAAGTCCACGCCCACGCACACAATGAAGACAGACACACCATGAGCATATGAGACCTCTGAACTGCTGCAACGACTGCCATAACAACTACCACCTTCTCCCATTTCATTCATCTCAAATTGCCACTGTCCTCACGCCTGATTTGATTGTGATTTTGATTGAACCCCCACTTGCTTCTCTTTGCGCAGGTCAAAGTGAGGAAGATGTAGCAACTGTGTAGAGAAAGAGACAAGATCAGACAACAACACAATCATACATCAACCAGGGTCATAACACTTGGTCTTTTTGTACTACATCTGCTACTGACTTGCTCTTGTCCACACACATACACATCAACAACAACTGTGTCTTTGGCTGGTCTTGAGTGTGAAGAAAAGATACGTAACCCACGTGTGAATCGCCAACACTGATTATAGTGTGGCCAAGAGATCTCTAACTCGGCATCACCCCAGATTCCAAGCACAGCCTTGGGTTCTGGTGCAGCAAATACAAATCAAACATCACTTGGGAGAAGCAGGACACATACTGTTGAAAATGATGTTGCTGGTGCTCGCGCTGTACATCAGTGTTGAGGCAAGTGCCATCTTCTGCTCCTGCCTATTCAACTCACCACATCTCATCCACACACACAACAGCAATCAGTCAACTCAGCAATGAAGCATGCCTTGGCTGACATTAATAATGACAATGGTGGAGACAAACGCCCCGACCCACAACAAGAGACCTCTGCCAACAAGAAAGCCAGGATAGATGTAGACAACAACAACAGTGAGTGGTGCTTGCTTCATGCGCTCCTCTTGAATGAAAAAGCCAGTACCACTCGCTGTCTGTCCCTGCTTCTGCCACGCTGTCTGTGCAATGTGCTGGTGGCCAGCAAACCACTCCATGTGTGCTTCTTTGACGATGATGGCGGGCTGATGGCTGAGGTTATGCCCTGGGTGCTGAGCGCCTGCCTGCAATTTGCCCTGCAACTGGGTGGCGATGCTAAGATCACTGAGCGTGCGACGTTGACGGTCAAGCCCAGCTGTGCATGGTTCTCATCCTACCATCTCTATGGACGGAGTGTTGAGATTGTCCGCCAGACACTGGATGCCATCAAGGCATTCCAAGCCCAAGGAACCATGTGGATCGCTGACATCACCTCATTCAAAGCCTACTCCAAGCGCAAAAACTCTCCCAGCGCTGTGTTGTCTCTCTTCTCGCGGCGCCGTCGGTGTCGATCTTCTTCTTCTTGCATTTCACGAAATGGGGGCCTCGGTCCTCTGCCTCTTCCTCGTCTTGGGCTGGTTGGTGGCTGCGGCGTCCGTCGCGCAACCGCCAAAGACCTTGTGGGTCAAAACACAGCGGTTCCTCTCGTCCAAGGACACCGACGTCATGAGACGTTCTTGCACAGCGAGACAGGAAGTGACTAGGACGTCGATGTGCCGGTCGATGCTGGTCTTGTGGTAGGCGAACAAGAGATGAGGACTCTCGCGGAGTAGCGTCGTCGTCGCAGCCGCGCGGGAAGCCGTTGTAGCCCGTGGAAACGATGCCCTTGTCCTGGTTGACGATACAGGCGCCAACCTGAGTGTGAGGGTCCTTGGAGCGTTGGGCCGACGAGGGAGGGCTACGAACATAAAGTAGTCGTCCCACTCGACG